TCGAGCAGGGTGGGTAGATGACCCAAGTCCACGAGTTGACCCATTAAGCCTGCAAACATTATAGATAACATAAAAGTTTTTTTAAATCCATATAACTATATTTAATTTTTGAGTCTAGTCCATAAAGTCCATAAATTTGACAAAATTTATTTGTGAGCTATCCTGCAAACTTCATTAATTAATTTTTTAAACATTATAAGACTTTAATATTTAGTTATGTCATTGGATTTTTAAATTATTAAGACATTAAAATTATGTTTAGTTGGTGTGTATCAGTTATTTGGATTATTTTAAAAATATTTTGATACTTTTATTATTGATAGTTTGAAACTATTAAATAAATATTAGTAATATTTAGCATTTAAAATCATTTTAAATGTTGGTATATTTTAGTGTGATATATTTTAACTTAAAAATTAAAAGATTTTTTTTTCTTCTAATTTTATGAATTTCTTATTTTTTTAAATATTCTTTTTTGATCCTTTATTTTTCTCGCTTGGGTAACACAGTTAGTACCTGGTTAAGTCTCTTCCCTCTTGCTAGTTAGAACCTAGGGTCAAATCCAATTTTCTTTTTGTTTTATATTATTCTATACAAACTTGTGCTGAAAATGGGATACACAACCTTAATCATACTAGAAATCTTCCAAGACAATAGTAATTGGCCCTAACATTGTACATGGTTATATATTTCCTTAATTTAAAATTTTCAATACAAAAAATAATATTATTTAAATTTGCGGGCTGATCTGTTTATCCACAAATTTTAGCAAACTAGATACAAACTTATAAAAATAATTTATTTTGCAAACTAAACTTGTTCGACCCATTTAAAAAGTGAATTGAGTCTACAAAAAGTTGTACATTTAAAGTCTATTTGAATATAAGTTTAGAAGTATTTTTTAAGTTTACTAAAAAATATTCTTTATTTTTAATAGAGAAGTTCTCGAAATAGGCTCTTGATCATGAAAAATATAATTAGAGATTTCAATTTGGATCATGACCCTGAAACTAGCCCACCCCACCTTCCATAAAAACTCCATTTATTTTTGTCTAACTTAACAAAGGGGCTTAAAGCCCCTAAGCAAAATCCCAAATAAAAAGGGCTAAGACTAGGACTAAAAGGAGCTTGGTAACTTGGTAATATATATCACAATTTGAGTTTACTAATTGAACCATTTATATGTATGTTAAGTCAAAAGACAATCTTGAATTTCTTAAGCTTTCATGTTTTAATGATAACAAATGAAAGGTTTTTTTAAGAGAAAATGTTTTTATAAGAAACGTTGTCAGACGAAGTATAAGGCGCTACTTGTAGTAAGATGTGGTTCAACCAGATGAAACATACTATCTATTAGACTAGCATTTATTCTATATCATTTATGATATCTAACAACGAAGTTATGTGTCTAAATTATTCTTTAATAGATCAAACCTTAAAAGCTTCCTTGGAATTCACAATATATTAAAAAGGAATAAAGACAATCGAATCCCTATAATCACGAAAAAGGTTAGTTGAAGTTGTTTCATAACTCATAACGTTGATACACTTTTTGTTTCATTTGTTTGGTACTTAAAAAATGATAAGTAGCCTCCTTGATTATATAAGAAGCGGCTTTTCAATGAAATGCATTCAATGCATCAACGAATACTTCTCTCCTCAAGGAACTCGAGATGAAGACAAACAAAACAAGCTTATGAGGAATGCTAAAAGTGTTGCAACAGTTGTCTCCATAAAGGCTACTATATAAGAAGCTTGACGCTCATAAAGAAAGAGAGAACACTTTGTACAAATTATTATTATTCATTCAGTCTTTTTGTAAAGATTTTTTATGTTTAATTGGTTGTATCACAACTTGTTCGTAAGATGAAGCTATATTTGTAAAATGTTACCTAAATATAATTTTTTGTTATTGGGTTGAGTCTGGGAGGCTTTGTAACAGCCCAAGAACCCGCATGTAGATATTGTCCGCTGCCGAATTTCTTTAATGCATCTGGAACCAGAATTGCCCTTCTGGTTCCAGAACGCCAATCACAAACGGTCAATGATTATAGTTCACGCCCATGATTCTAAATTACAGTTATAAATCGTGCAAGGAAAAAAACCCAAGGACCCGTTCTCAATCTCAACAGAACGACCCGTACTGCTTCCAGAACGACCCGTTCTCCATACCCGAACGGCCCGTTCCAGGCCCGTTCTGGGTCTTTAAAAACAAGCATATTCCTTCTTTTGGAACGGCCCGTTCTGCATTTGGAACGGCCCGTTCCGACACCCAGAAATACCCTTATTCCTTTATTAAAATTACGAAAATGTCATCAATAATTACGAAAATGCCATCTTTTAAAAAAAACTGGGTGTTACAGGATTAATGTAAAATTTTGTATGTATGTTCTAGGAGTAAGGAACTTTCAATTTAATGGTATTTTAAAAAAATTTATTATTTAATTAAAAATTATTAAACCGTATAATAGTTGGTAAAAGTTACACGTGTATTATTTGATAATCTCTCATTAAATAAACTGTTGCAAGTAAATTTTAGCATCTTGATGCTTGACATGTCATGCATAAATAGTAAAAAGGTAATGATAATTATGAAAATAAAATATAAAAAAAAAGTTAAACGAAAACGTTTTGGGTAAAAAAAAACAAGTATATTATAGATATTATCTAGGTTAAATACCTAATTTGGTCCCTTATAATATTTTAAAGTTTCAATTTAGTCCCACTTTAATTTTTTGTCTCAATTTGGTCCCTAATAATTTAAATTACTACAATATCGGACCTTCCATCCAAATTTCTTAAATGGAGTTAACTGTTGGCCACATGGATGCCACGTAGATGCATAGTTGGCAAGGTCCCATACGTATGTTGTTGTCTTCCTCCTCCTCCTTCTTTAATGCATCTGGAACGACCCGTTCTGAAACCAGAACATCCCATTCTGCTTGCACTCGTCGTGTGTTAATTTTGCATCTGGAACGACCCGTTCGAGATGCATTATTTAACACACAACGAGTGTAATCAGAACGAGCCATTCCAGAACGCCAACCACATACGTACGTTCAACAAAATGCACCAATGTGGTTTAAAGATTGAAAACAAAAATTCATAACATAACATAAATTCAAAGATTGAAATATGGTTCAGAGACTGAAAACAAAAATTCATAACATAACATATACTAAGAAAGTTTAAAGAAATTATTGAGGAGGAAAATTATATATCTGGATAATGCTGAAGGTGCCAATTATACATCTTATCCACCATATAATTATAATGTTGTTGGCGTTCATCCATCTCTTGTAATCGACGATCCATACACTGAATGGCTGACAAGATATCAGCATTATCTACCTGTACATGTGGTTGTGTGGTGAAATATTGGTCCTATTTGTCCTCTTCCTCTACTTCAGGTTGTACCTCCTCAAGAACAGGTTATTGTTGTTGTACATCGGTCAATGACTCCAAGGGGAAACACCATATCGTTTCATCCTTGACTGTATAGTGGTGATTTGGTAGTAAGTAGTTCACTCCAGTTTGACTAACAATGAAATAAAACCTGCCACCATTGTCCTTAATGATACACTACATTGCATAACAAGTATTATAATTAATACTTCTAGGAACTCCTATATCCTGCAATTGGTCTAGAAATGGTGTATAGCCCAAATATTTAGCAATTGAAGTTATCAATCCCCCATTGAAAATATTACCAAATCTTGTTTATAAAAAAAAAATCATTGGTTGTTTAAGCCTGGAGAGACTTGGTTACAAAGAATACTTAGATAGTTACTTGAAAAGACAAGTCAATGAACACTTTTAAGGTTGAGCCAGAAGTGACTTGGGAAAAGAATAATTATATCTTTGATAAAGATAGTAGAATTCAATCTACTTGGATTGAGAATTGGACATAACCTTGAGATAGAGACAAACCAATATAATTTTCCTTGTGCTTAGTCTGTTGACTCTTTGTAAGTGTTCTTGTGGTTATATTACTACTTCATTGTTTGAAAATGTGCAACTTTTCAATAGACACTATTCAATTCCCTCCTTCTAGTATTTTTATTTTCTCCACAATGTACTTAAAATGTAACTCGATAAATTATCATATCTTGTATTATATTCATGTATGTGATACACTAAGATTAATTTGCTTGAATGTGTAATAAAATATAATAAAACTTTTGATATTCTCAAAGACTAGCAAAGATTAAGTGTTTGTCATAGATTATAAATTATTCTTGTTAGTTGATATTTTTTATATCTTAATTTTATAGAAAATGTTATCTTAATTTTTGGTTAAAATATTAATTTTCTTATACATTAATGTTAGTTAAAATATTATTTATATTTTGAAATGAGTTTATCTTAATTTAAAGATTTTTTACTAAAAAATAAAAATGAAAAATTATAACCCATAAAATAAACTCATTAATATATAGAATAAAGATGACAAATAAACCTGTATATGTAAGTAACATCCAAACTCGTCTCAATTTTGACAGAAAATATTCGGTTTAACCAAGTTTAAACCGGAGACCGGGACGGATTAAGTGATCTTTGGTCCTGTAATTTTCTTTTTGGCCTGGTTCACGTAGACTAGAGCTTTGGATGGTGAGAGTAATATGACAGTAATTCCAGTCCACCAAGTTTGTGTAGCTTCTAATTTTATACTTCCAATCACAGATTCCTTACAAAACATGCCACATCTATCTTTCCTCCACCCAACCATCTTGTGTTGGATTCGTTAAGTAGGTGATCTGTGACATCTGTTACCACCCTATTTTATTAATACAGGATACCACCCAAATGTAACACTGACAACCCAACCTGCATCATGCATGCCACCCACACAACACAACAACCGTGTCAACAACGTAACCGACTCGTGTTACCACAAAATCTACTCATCAACCCTTCTCTACTCTCTACTCTTTTCATAACCAAGACACCTAAAATAAACAATCTATAAATTAATAAGAAAAACAAATATATATATTTTCTCATAGAAACATTGGATATATTGAAAACACGTAGTAGCTAGCTCCTCGTACCCGTGTCCTTCGCCACCTTTCTTTCTCCACCTTCCATCTCCATTTTTCTTCCCTTGATAACACCACTTTCTCTCTCTCTCTCTCTCTCTTTCTTTCTCTCTCTCTCTCTCTATCTCTCTACGCAAACATTTTTCTCCTTAGCACATACCCGAATCCATTCTCACTGCCACCGCCGTTGGATATATCGAGGCGATGGCGCCGCGTCTCTGGTCCTGCTTCATCAGCAAGGGCGGCCGCGGCGGCGGGGGAGGCGGGGGCGACGCGGCGGAGCGTCGCGTGACGGCGGACCCGGCGGCGGAGGAGTCGAGGGGCGGCGCGGGCGCCGTGCTGGTGGAGATGTTCTCGTCGCAGGGGTGCGCGACGTCGCCGGCGGCGGAGCTGGTGGTGTCGCGGCTGGGGCGGGGGGACTTCGGGCTGGAAGTGGCGGTGGTGGTGGTGGTGTTCCACGTGGACTACTGGGACTACGTGGGCTGGAAGGACCCGTTTGGGTCGAGCCAGTGGACCGTGAGGCAGAAGGCCTACGTCGAGGCCCTTGGGCTTGACACCATGTTCACGCCCCAGGTCGTTGTCCAGGGCAAGGCCCACTGCGTCGGAAATGACGAGAATGCCCTCCTTCAGGCCATCACCAACGCTCCTAGATTCCCTGCTCCCACCTTCCAGGTTTCCATTTCCTTCCACTTTCCTCTCATTCTTTCCTTCATTTTCTCTATATAACTACAAAATCATCAAATCTAAGTATTAAAAAAAAATATGGTACAATGAATTTAGCTGGTTAATATCAGCTTAAGTTTTGTCCTTTATTACATTGAAAGGTTTGCACTGAACTTAAAGATGTTGGTTATAATGGAATTTTTTTTTTTTTTTTTTTTTTTAAGTTAATTAAGGGAGAATCTGTTATATATGCTCAGTGAGAATAAACTGTTTTGCTAATATGCATGTCTATGCTTTATACATGTATCTACTTTTTGTTTTGATGAGACAATTTTTAAAGGTACAAGTTAGCATAGAAAGCTAGATTTGGGGAATATTAGTTTGGCCAAAAACAAAAGAAAGGAAGGAACATAAAATTGATATACTCTATATTTTTCTTTCTTAGTTTCTCAACCTCATTTCTTCCAAAAATCAATTCTCGTGAATCTAAAACAAACGGAGACTAAGTATGTGTGCTCTTAGGTGCCAAAGTTTTTGTAATAATGAGATCTGAATTTTACATTTTATTTTTTTTTTTTAAAGTGATATGATTAAAAACCATAACACATTCCCAAAGAAAATAATAAATGTATATAGCTTGAATGCCACGACAGTGCTTCTGACGAAAAGTAAGCTAGAACACTTTAAGATAGATCCAAAACAGAAGTTGAAGCGTGATTTTCAATCACAATGCCATCATCCCACCCAACACCACGTTGGAGGTCTCTTGCTCACCTAATGCAAATTAAGCTGCTTTTTTATGGGTTAAGGAAGTTATTGTGTTCTTTTCAAATTTTCATCACCTTCATTATTCTAATAGGAGTTGGATCAAAGCATCCTTTGAAACCAACCGCATAACTAACTATTTCACTTTCACACACAATTTAAAACCACTTACCAACAAGAATGTGAAAATTCCAACTTTTAAGATGCATACATTTGCATGTCTCTAAGCATAGCATTGAGTGATGACAGACATGGCAACCAATCATGTAAAACTCATATTTATGAAAAACTATATGCGTGTGTATGTATGCAAGAAGTTTGTCTACCTGTTTTCTTTTCTTTTCAATGACTTGTAGTACTGTTAACAAAGCAAAAACTGTCTTTCTATCAGGCAACTTTCACCAAGCCTTCACTAGATTCATTGCAAGTGTCCCTAACAGGAGCATTGAGGACCAAGGTGGACAGCAATGGCGCAAATGTGATGGTAGCATTGTACGAAAGTGGCTTGGTCACTGACTGTCCAAGAGGGGAGAACAAAGGGCGTGTTCTATCCAACGACTATGTCGTTAGAAAGCTCGAAAAGCTCTGCACTGTCAAGGACATCTCTGCCAAGAAAACAGTATCAGGAACGGTTAACTTTTCCTTGTGGGGAGGATTCAACAGCAGCAAATGTGGTTTGGCTGTCTTTGTTCAAGGCAGCTCTCACCAGATCTTTGGATCACAGAGTTTTCACCTTCCGGATGATATATGATCTTGATTCATTCATTAGTCTCATTAATTTGTTCTGCTTGCTGTTATCATATTCTTGTCACATTGTTGTTTGCTAGGCTATATGTACATATTGTGTTATGATTTAGGATGATGTTGTTTTCTTCTCTTTTTTTTTATACATTTTTTCCCATATGTACTTTGTCCTTCCTTACTATTTACTCTATGATTAGGAGATGCAGACAGAAGTTTAAATTTGTGGTGTGCAAAAATTTATTGATTGGATTTGGAAAGTGACACTAATATTGAATCTGTTGTTGTCTTGTGTTTAATTGTTGTTACTTTTATTCTGCTTCCGTCTTGTGATGGCAACATTTCGCAGTGATTCATCTCTGCCTGTTCCATCCACATAATAGACCTCTTCACTGTTTTGGTTTCCTTATACATGGATACGGACAGAATTTAAACCATAAAGGATATCGGTGCAATTTTTGTAAATTATTACATTATTCAATAATCTTATATTATATGGAAACTTTTCAAAATTTATTTTTAGATTGAAAATTTCTTATTCTAAAATTATATATGCAAAATTTTATATCAATAGAAGATAATTCAATATCTCATTCTTATAGGTTAAAATTGATATAATATATTTATTTTAAAATATATAAAAATATGATCATTTTGATTATTTTTAATTATTGTTTAATTTTAATAAAATTTGGCATAAACATACAAGGTGATGTGAAATTATAATTTAATAGTTAGATTTGTAAAATTTATATTTAATATAAAATTATTAAACAATGTAATAGTTAGTAAAAGTTATACAAATGTCATTTGAACCCTCTCCCATTCTCTTTCTATATATATACATGAAAAAAGATTCACTTATTTAAAGAGAAAACTTATCTAAACTTATTTTACTCAATAACTTATATTTTATTTCAAATTTTAACGATCTAACTGTTGAAATAAAAAATTTTAATGCATAGATCAAATCTGTAAAATCTTAATAAAATTAAAAATTATTTAAAATTCTGTTTTATTAATTTAAATCAACGTATAATTTTTTTTTCATAATTATCTATCAATTTGAATTAATGGAATGAAGGATTAAATAATTTTAAATTTTTTTAAAACTTGACGAATTTAATATAAAATATGAGTTATTAAGTAAAGTAAGTTTAAATAAACTTAGTCTTTGAAATAAAGAGATCTCTTTTCTCTGTATATAAAGACTTACTAAGTGAATTTCTTGTCTCCTCTCCCTCTCCCTCTCCCTCTTTCTATATACATTGGTAGACACTGATGCGAATTCTTTTGAGTAGGAACTTGAACTTTCATTCATCAATTCAACCTTCGGGTCTACAACGGTGGTATACCCACCAAATAGCAAAGACATTTCCATGCTTAGACTCACTAGTTATTCTACTTGCCAATTGTTAATTCTACGAGGCAACAAAATATATCTTGGTTTTCTGTATCTTCCTCTCTCTTTTTTTGGGTTTAATTGTCATTTTAGTTATTGTATTTTAAGTTTATGTATGATTTTGGTCTGCTATATATCTGGTAATAAGTGAACGAAATTTAAGGTGATGAACTTAATTTGCACAATTAAGAAAATAGGAAAGCTAAATGTGGGTAATCAACATAGAAGAATGAAAATAGCTCATGAACTAAAGTACAGATATAAAAAATACAATGAAAATAAAATTATTTTATGTTGTAATTAAACTATAGCAAATACTTACAAAAAAAAAGTTGCGCATCCAGGGAATCGAACCCTGGTCAGTACCGTGGGAGGGTACTATGATACCACTACACCAGATGCGCTTGTTGATAACATTACTATTTGTTATATTTTATTATTTATAGTTTAAAAAAAGTTATCTATATAAAAAGGTATTGCGCATCCGGGGAATCGAACCCCGGTCAGTACCGTGGGAGGGTACTATGATACCACTACACCAGATGCGCTTATGTTCTGGGTCGGACTATAATTATTAAATAAATTATTTTCACTACAACTTGTAGGTTAAATAATATTTAAAATTTTGGGTTTAAGTATATTTTTAGTTTTTCAAATTTAAAATTATTATTTTTAATCTTTATAATTTACAAAAATCTTATTTTAGTTCACCAATAACATATACAAAAATAACAAATTAAGATAACTAACTGGGATATTTGTACATAAATTTTATGAACAGTATTTAACAAATTTTTTAATAAAATTTTAATATCAAAATTTAAATAAGATTTTTTAAAATTATAGAACTAAAAAGATCAATTTTTAGTTTAAGAGACTAAAAATAATTTTATCCTGAATTTGAGAAACTAAAAACATATTTAAATCATTTTATTAATATAGATTGTATAATATTAATATGGCTTAAATAATTTTTAGTTCCTCAAATTTAGAGTAAATTTATTTTTGGTTTTTTAAATTTAAAACTATTTTTTTTCAGTCTCTATGATTTTTGTTTAAACTCTCAAATTATTAATAACACATTTGAAAGTAACAAATTGAGATAATTATACAATATCAATTTAGTTTAATGTTTTCACTAACAAAGATATTAATAGGTAGGTATAATATTTGACAGATTCCCTAAAATTAAATATAAGAAATTAAAAAGGATTTTTTAAAATTACAAAGTCTAAAAATATCAATTTTAAATTTGAGAGGCTAAAAATAAAATATAAAATCATAAATTCAAAGTAGATGTTATAAATAATAAAACTAAGTTAAATATCATTTATCCAACTGCTAAGATATTTGAATTTTTATGAAAATTTTTTTACAAATTCAAGCTAGAAAATCCCAAAGATTTATGAAACTTGTTATATAAATATATCTAACAACAGTGTGAGGATCGCTTTATACTAGTATCCATGGTCCGTAAGTTACATTAGTTTTAAATTTTGACAATGTATCAAAGTAGGACCTTTTCTTTCCGTCTTAGCACGATCTGCTTATTATGTTCAAGGAAAATATTACGTGAAATATAAATGATGATATTTTGCCTATTTAATTTTGACAGTAACCTCTTAAGTTAATCGCTCGTACAGACATTTAATAAAACAAAATGTTCGTGTGAACCATATGCAATGACACCATTATGTCAGGGGCACAGCTAGACAGCCTTGTCCAATGAGGCCGACAAGGAAATTATCGATACATCGGGAGTTAGGGATAAAATTAAATTAAATTTTATTATTTTTCTTAAAATGAAATTGAAAGAAAATCAAATATTTTGTAATTTTGCTAAAAAGTAAGGTTCATAAATTGATTTTAAATTATAAGAAACGCTCAATTATTTTACTTTTTAAATTTTTTATAAATAATTTTTAAAAAGTTATTCAAATAAGAATAAAATCATTAAGCATTTACTTACCTATGTCATGTGAAAACAATGCTCCATGGTGTAAGTATCAATAATCTTCCTAGATTTGTGTCGCCTATAACGAAGGGTTGGGTCACTTATTCAAAAGCACTATATCGAATCATTTGACTACATTTATAATCTATAACATATTATAAAATCAATAGTATAATTTGATAAGCACATTTTTTTTTTCAATTTTACTTTTAACTTTTTAAGTAATAATTTACTTTTAACTTTTTAAATAATAAAAAATAATATTAAAATTAATTATCTTTACAAACACTAGACTCGAACTCGATATCTTGAAATTTGAAGATCAAGCACAAATTGTTAATTTAATAAATATTAACAATTCTTAATTAAGGCAACCAATAGTTGCTGTCCAACCTGAATTTGACACCGTATAAGATCGAAGCCTTGCTCACTCTATGTTGATTTTCCATTCCAATATGCAAGTTGTTAGTATTAACATTATTTGTTTGCAGTGTGGTAATGTAAAATGAGCCAACTATAAATTTTTTTTTTTAATTCCTTATTTCAGGTAAATAAATGCAATTTTGAGGTTCCAAGGATGGATGACACATTGCACCTGCATAGTATATGTGACACCCTCTATCCCAACATGTACATTGTAATAAATACAACAACAATAACCTGTTCTTGAGGAGGTACAACCTGAAGTAGAGGAAGAGGACAAATAGGACCAATATTTCACCACACAACCACATGTACAGGTAGATAATGCTGATATCTTGTCAGCCATTCAGTGTATGGATCGTCGATTACAAGAGATGGATGAACGCCAACAACATTATAATTATATGGTGGATAGGATGTATAATTGGCACCTTCAGCATTATCCAGATATATAATTTTCCTCCTCAATAATTTCTTTAAACTTTCTTAGTATATGTTATGTTATGAATTTTTGTTTTCAGTCTCTGAACCATATTTCAATCTTTGAATTTATGTTATGTTATGAATTTTTGTTTTCAATCTTTAAACCACATTGGTGCATTTTGTTGAACGTACGTATGTGGTTGGCGTTCTGGAATGGCTCGTTCTGATTACACTCGTTGTGTGTTAAATAATGCATCTCGAACGGGTCGTTCCAGATGCAAAATTAACACACGACGAGTGCAAGCAGAATGGGATGTTCTGGTTTCAGAACGGGTCGTTCCAGATGCATTAAAGAAGGAGGAGGAGGAAGAGACTAAATTGAAGCTTTAAAATATTATAAGGGACCAAATTAGATATTTAACCTATTATCTACTAACAACGTAATTTAAATGTGAATACAAAATATAACATTTTTAAGAATTAAAATTATCTACCGACTATATTACATTTAAATTAATAAAAGATTAAATATTGTCATAAATAATAAATATTTACTATACTAATTATAAAATTTTTTAAGAGACAAAGTTATCTACTAACCATACTACATTTAAGATAATAAAACATTAAATATTATTATAAATAATAATAAATATTTACTGTACTTAGTATTAAATTTACTATTTATTGTTTTAAATATTTTTAAAAAAATTATTAACATATTAAAATAATATTTATGTCTCAATAAATTATTATGAGACATAAATATTATTTTAATATGTTAATAATTTTTTTAAAAATATTTAAAACAATAAATAGTAAATTTAATACTAAGTACAGTAAATATTTATTATTATTTATAATAATATTTAATGTTTTATTATCTTAAATGTAGTATGGTTAGTAGATAACTTTGTCTCTTAAAAAATTTTATAATTAGTATAGTAAATATTTATTATTTATGACAATATTTAATCTTTTATTAATTTAAATGTAATATAGTCGGTAGATAATTTTAATTCTTAAAAATGTTATATTTTGTATTCACATTTAAATTACGTTGTTAGTAGATAATAGGTTAAATATCTAATTTGGTCCCTTATAATATTTTAAAGCTTCAATTTAGTCTCACTTTAACTTTTGGTCTCAATTTGGTCCCTAATAATTTAAATTACTACAATGTTGGACCTTTCGTCCAAATTTCTTAAACGGAGTTAACTATTGGCCACGTGGAATATTTGGGTTTGGTTAAGCTAAATCTAGGTGCATGATAAGACCATGAAACCTAGGTGCCCTCCACTTGGGCCTAAACCTTGCCAAGTCCAAAAATAAATCCAAGGCTACCCAAAAACACGTCTAGGCCTAGTTGCCAACCTTAATAAAATACCCTAACTATAAAATAAAATCCTATAATCTAAGCCACCCCATAATACAAGGGTAAAATGGAAAATACAAGTGAAAATAAATCCTATGACTAAGACACCCTAAAATACAAGGGTAAAATGGGAAATACAAGTAAAATAAATCTTATGTCTAAGATACCCAAATACAAGGGTAAAAAATGAAAAATTAAAGACAAGGGCAAAATAGGAAGGGATGTTACAGTATATACAGATGCATGTTACACGTTTTATTTTTTCTCAGGAAGCTTCTCTAGTAACTCTGGTATCACCTCAAACAGATCTCCTACAAGTCCATAATCAGCAACCTGAAATTTATCACATCACATAAATATGGCAAAACGGCTGGTTTGTGGCCAATAAAGTAGAAAAGGTGCATTTACTAAAATACTCCATTTTAAAATAATTATCATTTATGATGTGTTTGGACGAAGAATTTTACAAATTTAAGGAATTTTAAATTCTTGGTATTTGAATTACTTTGATTTCAATTTCTATCATTCTTAAAATATTTGGATAAATTAATTCAAATTTATCAAATTTTAAATTATTAGGTTGGATATGATAATTTGATTCTACCATGGTAAAATTGATTTTAAAAATATATTTATATGTTGAGAATTTTTAAATTAAATTTTATAAAAATAAATATTAGCAAATTTTTAAATATTTAATAATTTTAAAAAATT